ACCGTCCGAGCCGGCCAGCTGGCGCCAACATCGGGTCGCGTGCCCGGTGGTAAGCCATCGGGCACAGCCGCGCAAGATCGCTACAGTGTACTAGCCCCACGATTGGCTGCGAGCTCTGCAGCCAATCGCCGATAGACTAAGTGAGCTCGCGCTTCTCGCGAGCTCTTGTAATTCACTTTTGGATTTGCCTCACAATAGACTCTGCTCTCTAAGCCTTCAACGCGACCTTACATACATGTACCAGGTACGAGCAGATCAGCACTGCACCTGCAGCTTGCACTTACGGTATCAATGCAAAAGCCACGCGAAATTGCCATGTGCCGATTGCCAAAGTATAGTATGTGGCACTTGACGCCAGGGCCAACTTGACTGTTGGCGCGCTCCGAGGCACGCCAATAGCCAATCAGAAACAATAGCGATGCTGATTAGCCAACCAAGATCCTATCCGACTTCAGCATCGGTAGGAAAGATACCGAAATCGTTGCCACCAGTGGTCTGAGCTTTGTGAGGCTGTCGAACTGCTCTAATCGCATGCAAATGCCGATCCAACTGTTCAGCACCGCGTTCAACGAATCAACAAGTGCTCATTCGCCGGACAAAACGAGGCGGTGGTCGAGAGGCTCACATTTCAATTTGCTCCGTCTCCGACATGGCCTTCCATGCCATCTCAACGCCGACGCAACACGTGCAGCTGCACCTGGATGCCAAGCCCGCGCCGCCCAAGTTCGCGCTCGTCCCGCACATCATCGCGGGGCTGCTCATGCTCTACGCCATCTTCGCCATCACGGCGAACAACACGCCCATGACGGCACCGATCACGACGTTGTACTTGGACCCGCTCTGGGACGTCAACCCCAAGGTCAAGGGCTCGGGCCACTCGGAGATGGTCATCTACACGTACCTCTTCTTCGCCGTGATTTTGCCCATGTTTGTGGCCTTCTTGATCGTGCGTCTGGCCACCCGTGGCGCGACGTTCCCGGTACCGGCGCTCTCGCACATGCTCCAGCGCAAGCCGCGCTTCTTGTGGTCGCTCGTGAGCTATGGCGAGGTCCTCTTCTTGCTGGCCGTCGTCGTCGGCAACACCATTCTCTTCTACAACATGTACTTGTACAGCCCGCGCATCAAGGCCACGTCCAAGACGCAGGTCGGGATCGAGAAAGCTGCCAAGACGCTCGGCTTCTCGACCTTGTACAACATGGTGTTCCTCGCGCTGCCTGCGTCGCGCCACTGCTTTTGGATGGAGTGGCTCGGCATCCCGTACGCCAACGGCGTCAAGTACCACCGCTGGCTCGGTGTTGCGACCATTCTTTGCGCGACGCTGCACACGGCGTTCTACGTTAAAGTGTATATCGTCGAAAACGACGCGATGACGCTGCTGCCGTGCTTTGACTGCAACGTGGCCAAGGGTGGCAAGCCGAATTGGATCAACACCTTTGGGTGGCTCTCGTTCCTGAGCATGTTTGTCATGGGCATCACGTCGCTCCCGTACGTGCGCCGTCACTACTACAAGATTTTCTACGCCACCCACTTCCTCTTCATTCCCGCCACGGCCTTTGCGATCATGCATTGGGGCTACATTGCCATCTGGCTCTTCGCCACCATCGTGCTCTACATTGGCAACCGCATGCTCTCGTCTGCGACCATCCAAGCGCCGGTCGTCATCCAAAAGGCGGCCGCGTACCCGCACGAAGTGACCGAGCTCGTGTTTGAGTGCGCAACCTCGTACCAGGCCGGCGACGTCGTCTACCTCAAGGTCCCGTCGGTCTCCAAGACGCAGTGGCACCCGTTCAGCGTCGCGTC